TATGAACACTCCCACCCACCCTCTGCCAGCCCCTATAAACATGAGCACCCAGCCCCACATCCCCCCTTGGGTGCTGCCTGTGCCATTGGAGTGGGTGAGTAGCCCCAGTTGGGGGCTTTTTTAAAACTTTTTTTCCTTGGGTGCTGTGCTGGGGGTCTCCTTGTCCCTGGGGATGCTTCACTGCTGTGCCTTGAGCCCCCTGGCCCTTGCTGGCACCTCCAGAGCTGCTGCGTTTCTCATTTTTATTTTGGGGGGGGGTGTGTGTGTGTGTGTTACCCCAGTTGCTTGTTGCGTGAGCGGTGTGGTGATGGGAGCTGTGTCTTCATTCAATTTTAATTTAGTTTGGATATTTAAGCACTAAATGAGGAGCGGCATGGGCCTGGTGTGTGGCTTGAAGTCATTACACGGGTGAAGATTGATTTGAAAACTAAAAAACCCCCTCAACTCCCCCCTCCCCAGGGAAGGGCCATGAACAGGGGACACAGGGGGCATCACCTTGATAAATCACAGCCCCCAGTTCCGCTCCCCCCCAGCCCTGGAGGGGTGCCAAGGGAGGGAGGACAGGGTGAGGGGGGTGTCCGGGGGAGGGGTCTGTGCAAGAAGCTGGGCTGAATTTCGGAAGCTGGAGGCCTAAAAGCCTGGTAGCCCTTGAGTACAGCAGGTGGGACTGGGTGTCCCTGCAGTGCTGAGGCCTGGGGGGCTCATCACACAGGTGGGTGACAGGACTGGGGGGGGGGCAGGGCTGCTGGGGGGATTGCAAGTTGCAACCCCACAGTGCCAGGGACAGCTGGTGTTAAAAAAGTGATTTTTTTTTTTCTTTTTTTTATTATTTTTAAATTAATAAAAAACCTTCAACCTGTTTTTTCTTGGGTTTTTTCCTTTTTTTTTTTTGTTTTTTTGGTTTTTTTTAAGCAAGATTGATTTGAAAACTAAAAAACCCCCTCAACTCCCCCCTCCCCAGGGAAGGGCCATGAACAGGGGACACAGGGGGCATCACCTTGATAAATCACAGCCCCCAGTTCCGCTCCCCCCCAGCCCTGGAGGGGTGCCAAGGGAGGGAGGACAGGGTGAGGGGGGTGTCCGGGGGAGGGGTCTGTGCAAGAAGCTGGGCTGAATTTCGGAAGCGTGGGTTTTTTTGTTGTTGTTTTAACATAAAATTGCTTTGAGCTTTTCCCTGGCATGGCAGCTGTAGAAATTATTCTAATATTCAGAAGCACTTCTGCTACCTTCCTCAGAGCTTCAATTTGCTCTGGATACTTTTACCATACCAAAATCACTTTTCCTCCCTCCAGTTATGTAACGGAGATCTTCACTTTGTTGATGGACGTGCGCTGGGGCTGGTGCTCCAGCCCTTGCCTAAGCAATCATGCCTGCAGTGCTGACCGACATCGCGGCTGCGTAGGGAGCTGGAGGGTATGGTGCAGGAAAAG